ATGAAAAGGTGTCGTTTTATTAGGCTATTGCTGCCCGTTTATTTGTGAAATTGAAATATAACAAAACTAAATTGAAATTTTAAAACAAACCCCAAATCAAATAAGTTACATGAATAAAATACATCTCTTCATATAAACAAACTAAGGCTTTGTCTGTGCTCTTTCCATTTAAAATGGGAGGCAACCAAATATATTTGATTTTTATGAGTTAATTTAGACGTAATGCACGTTTTTATAGAGTTACTTGCTAAATGCGTTGCATTACTTTGCTCATTGTGCCCTCCTGTGGCCTCGGGAGACAATTGGACCTATACAATAAAGACCTATTTAATCTGCATATAAAACATTAGAAATTAGAAACATTAAAAAAGAATGAGATATTTATTAAATTTTTTTGTGTTTGATTGTTAAAACAAAAAATATTTGTTGTTTGTCTCAATAAATTGTGTTAATTATTAATACAGTGGTTAAATGTAAACATTTTTCTATTGCTTTTTGTTTTTATAAAAGGTTATAAAAATGTCAATAATTATCGATACCGAACGATATGAAACATTATATCATCGATACATTTTATATTTTTTTATTAATACTTAATAAAGTATATAATAATGCAATGATAATCGCCTTTATCACTGCTTAGAATACTATGAAATATGTTGCGTGCCTTATTCTGTCCAAGAAGCCACATCATCTCACAGAAGGATTTATTTCAAACACTCGACTGACATTATGAAGTGAGTTTGGAGTAAAAACATGTTATTAAGTGTGGTATTTTCACATGCTTTCGGATGGAGCAGCATTTACTTCACAGAGCCGTAGTTCACTGACAAGCTACGCAAACAGCTTTCATAATCGCAGAACGATTTCTTCGATTTCATAATCGCGCGATTAAATCGTCTGTGATTATGAATGTGATTTTGCGTAGCTTGTCAGTGTGCTCCATCTGAAAGCACGTGATGGAGATTTACTACTAATCACAGAACCGGCTTTTACTGACAAGATGCGCATGACAATCACATTCGATTAATCGTGCAGCCCTAGCTGGAATTGAATTTTTTTATAATTGGTTAAACATCCTCATAAGAGGACAAATGTTCTCCAAGGTCCCTTGTGAAACACAAAGTCATACAGGTTTGAATGACATGACATGATGATTACCAGTGAGAGTGTGAATCTTCTCTTTCAGTTTAGCACCGGTGCCATCTAAAGGAATTTTAAGGTCATATTTGTTTTTGTTCCAAATGATTTTCACTTCCACCATCTCTTTCCCCTCGTCACTTTCCTCTCCGTTGCTGACAGCAGCGGGCTGAGCTGACGTGCTTTCGCCATCGGTAAGAGATGCTTGTTCAGTCCCTGCTGCATCTTCTTGTCCAGCAGCTTCGCACACCACTTCTGGTACCTTCTGCGTGACCTCAGCCTCCATTCCTACTACCTCACTTCCTGTGGGAACAATTATCAGATGAGGAATCATATTGTTAAAGAAATGTAGTTTTCAAGGTGCAAATATCGACCTGCTTCAGAGCACTGATATGACAATATCAAACTATAGTATTTAAGTATTAAAATAAAACAAACAAATCCTCATGGGACAATATTTTATAACCAATAAGATAACACGTTTGGGAAAACTAGGTAACTATCTAAATTTTACAGATAAAAGCTGAATTCATGTGTTTGTTCTAGATTCCCACCCATTACTTGTATGTTTTACTCCTTAAATAGTCCTAACTAGACCGTCTCTAGTACACAGATTTGAAAAGCTAACTGTCTAGCTGCTGTCTAAAGGCTCAGACACATCTAGTAAATTCCCTTATCGTCATTTGAACCCAACTGTTGAACTAAGACCAGTAACTGTAAGCATGAGCGCATCGACAGAGCCTGTGTTGTAATCGTACACAACTGACTCATCGGTAACTTAGCCAGCCCGCTGTGCTAATATTCGCAAGCTCATATATCAAGACTGTGTCTCAAAATTCACTGAGCTGTCTATCTAGACAGCATCTTTGCGTAACGTGCTGTGAGCTCGATTGGAACCTTCGTTTGCACGTTCCAAACGCTTCCGCGATGCCCATAGGCGTTAATCTACAGTTCCAAAAAGGGTCAAACGTTTCAGCATCCCTCAAAATGCTGTCTAGGTAGACGGCTCTCTAGATTTTGTGACACAGCCGAAGTTTTCGACATGGCTAATCACAGAATATCTAGCTATTATTTCACCCTGACAAGTTAAAAGAGCGTCCATTCAGTGTAATACAAGTGTCAAATAACTGGAACTGATGTAATACGCCGCAAAATAACACCGCAAAGACTGTGCAAAAGGCATTTAAGTACATTTTCACGCTACCTACCATCCTGCGCCGCCATGATGATTGTGTACAATATGAGGAAAGGCTTCTGGGAAAGAGCGTGCTGTCAGTGAATGAGCTCCGAGGCTTCCCGTAGTGACCTCGCGATTTAAAAATCTGGGTTATGAAAGGTAACGAGGACTTTTTTTTTGTTATTTTTCCTTAGTTCCTTTTAAAATTATTCATAAAATACATCATAAACTTAAGTGAACTATAAAGTTTATAATAGTAGTTTACCCAATTGCTCCTTTGTCATCACAGATGCCCATTTATTGTAGAATTGTGTTTGTTGCAAGTTGCAAAGCAATTGACTTTTCTAACTTTGTAAAAATTAATGTATCCCCAAAATTTAGTGACTCTTTGAAAATAGACCATTTTTCTTAAGTTCAGTTTTTTTATTGCTATTCCTCGCAATATTTTACATTCATAAATGTACATTTCAAGAAATGACTCTTCTACGGTGTAATACTATCATTTCAGAATTTCATGTATTGTGACCCTCTTAGCATATTTTGTTTATTGTCTTTTTGCTTCTAAATCGTATTCTTTGCTGTAATTCAAAAAGAAAAGAACATAAGGAGGATCCCAGATGTGACGTAGCCTGTCAACATTGATTTCCACACAATAGCGATTGACACGAGCTCTGTGGATATTGCTTACAGGTCTACGGATGATCTACGCGTAAACTTACCCTACCTTACCTCGAGGGGTTGGTGATCTTTCAGCGCTTACACAATCGACAACTTTTGAAAGCAACATGTAAACAAGTACAGATCATTTCACGCACAGTCTAATGTTCATAATAAGAAGACATACAGTGAATCGCTGCTAACCGATGCAGGAGCAACAGCGACTGCGTGTTAAAGTTTGGCTTTGTGAATCGGGTAAGCTATTGCAGTGATACAGTGTTGTTGACAGCAAGCATGTGTAACTAACTAGCACAACGCTGTAGCTAACCTCAAGGATACAACTCAAATATATTAAATAGCTCAATGATACAAAGAGAATTTGTGAGATCGTCATCAACATTTTACACAATAAATCCAAGCACCATACTGTTCATCTATCTATCTATCTATCTATCTATCTATCTATCTATCTATCTCTTTCTCTCTCTATCTGTCTATCTACAGGTGCATCTCAATAAATTAAAATGTAGTGGAAAAGTTCATTTATTTCAGTAATTCAACTCAAATTGTGAAACTCGTTTATTAAATGAATTTAATGCACACAGTGGATCAATCTGTAATTATGAGAATTATTAATGAATTGAATACTACATAGTCTAAAGATATATATAATCTTGACACTGCCTTTAAAAAAAAAAAACGGAAGTGTTTTAGTTAAGCCCCTTACCCATCTTATTAATCTTTCTATCAGAACTGGGCAGTTCCCTGATAGTTGGAAAAAAGCATTGGTAAAGCCTATTTTCAAATCTGGGAATTCAGATGATATAATTAACTATAGACCAATTAGTCTTTCTATCTATCTATCTATCCTATCTGTCTATCTTTTTATCTATCTATCTATCTAATCTCTCTCTCTCTCTCTCTCTCTGTATCTATCTATCTATCTATCTATCTATCTAATCTCTCTCTCTCTCTATCTATCTATCTATCTAATCTCTCTCTCTGTATCTATCTGTCTATCTATCTATCTATCTATCTATCTAATCTATCTATCTATCTATCTATCTATCTATCTATCTATCTATCTATCTCTCTCTCTCTCTCTCTCTCTGTATCTATCTATCTATCTATCTATCTATCTATGCTTTTTATATTTTGGGATTTTTTTTATTTATTTTGCGCCATGCTTATTCTGAAGTAGTTGCCACGGAAACCATCACATGGATTTTGCATTCCAGTAACTTTCATCTCATGCTTGATGGTCACGAGGCGCGTGCCCGTCTGTGACCACGCACTTGTATTCACTAACGTTTAACTGCTGTAATGGATATAATGCAATAATAGTGTAATATACATGCTGTAGATAATTACTCAACTTGGTTTGTTTTCTAACAGTTTGCTTTCCTGGATGCTGGATTTATTTACATGGACCAAGGCACACTCGCTGAAACTCTGGCATCTTACACGAGGATTTAAATGAGCTGAGGATGGCGGATGTTAGGACGTATAATGTTGTTATTTTGGGAATAGGATTTTTGCTCATTTTTACAGCCTTCACCACCTGCGGTAATATCGAAGTAAGTTGTGTTTCATTCTTATTGCATGCTATAAACTATTAGACTGAGAGGTAGCCTATGATAGGATGGCATGCTTCATTATGCTACTATGTTTCAAAATATGTCTGAAATTTTAATTTTTTTTGTACTGACATTCTAGCAGTACTTATGCCAAAACTTGAGAATTGCAAGCCTTTAAAGTTTGCAGCAGTTTTAACTTTTTATTAGCAGTAGTTTCTGTAAAAATACAGCAAAAACTAAAGTTATTTGTTGTGATTTTATTCACACAGTTTTATTGCAGTAAAATAGCAAGTTAGATTATCTGAAAACAGTGTATTGTTGAGGTAAATCTGGGTCAGGCGCATCTCGTGTTTTTGATTTTCCCCATCAGTCAATGAATTATCCTGCATGACTAATGGGAGAAACTAATTCAAATGTCACGGTGGACTCATGTTAACCTCACTGTCATCCAACACAGAAAAACCCACAAACTCAGTTTAACCACGAAAGGATGTCTTCTCATAAGATTCAACAAATATGTATTAAGGTTAATCTATGTGTTGGAAGTTTCAGTGCAAAATGATCTTTAAAATATTCACAATGACATAATGGTAGTTGACATATCAAGCAGTGTCTTGCAGTGTACATGCTTCGTGTACAACTATTTTAAATAGCATAATTTTTTATAATTCTTTTACTTTTTAAAATACATGTAGTTTTTATGAGTTCATATTCACTACATTAAGTATTTATTTAACATTTTATAAACTTTATTTGTCATGCTACAGGGCTATTTAGGTCAACAGCAAAATGTTTGTTTATTTATTTATTTATTTAATTTTAGCAAACGGTGGTGAAAAGCTTGAATAGCACTAACTTCACTGGGAGTGGGTATCACAGGTAAGATCTCAGTCCTTCACCTTTTCTACCATATCCCATATTCATAATTTAGAGGTTTATGATGGATATGTAAATATAATACGCTGCACGGTAAAAAAAATAATGCTAGTGCCATTGTGTTACAACACATTTTTATTTCAATCTAATTCAACACATCATGATATTTTACTTGATTAATTGAGACTTCATCATAGCTTTAACTCTGTTTTCTTCATCTGTAATTAGATGACTGTAATTAGTAATTAAAGTGGTTGAAAAAGTGTGACGAACTCATCACTGTAGGTTGCCACCAGTTTGACTAAAAATTTAAAGTAGCAAACATATGTCAGTTGAACACTGGTGAGTTTGTAATTTCGACAAATAAATGCAAAAGAAACCATATGCAGCTACCATATGGAGCTGCATAGTAGAGGCTAAAAAGTGATAGCACATTTTCTAATGTCAGAAATTGAAGGTGTAGATATGATGAAATCAGATATCCAGTAATATTCCCTTTTTTTTTTTACAGCCTTGGAATAATATATGGAGTTTTTTCATTCTGCAATGTGTTAGCTCCCACTATCGTTGCAATAATTGGACCACAGTTTACCATGTTCTTGAGTGGAGTTCTTTATAGGCGAGTATCCCAGATTTCTTTGTGACTGTTCATCTTCTAGTCACCATGCCACTGTTGTCTGTATTGCTCACTTCTGTGTGTTTTTCAGTGGTTATATAGCTGTATTCATCATTCTATCCACATGGTCCTTTTATTTGACATCCGTGATAATTGGCATTGGAGCAGCCCGTAAGTAGATACTTAAAACACGCAAGCACATTCATAGTGTGTTTAAGTTCATCAAATAATTCATCACCTGCAAGCTAATAATTGACTTGATAGTTCACCCAAAACTATTCTCTCTCCCTCAGGCCATCCAAGAGTTGTTCATCAGATCTATTACTTTAACCACATAATTAATTAAATGTTTTTTCACATTAAACACAAAGCTTGTATGCAGTACTGCAACATTTTCTCAGTTAGTGTGGTTAGTCTTTTGTGTATAGTACACACTTCTGCAGAAGTAGGTGTTTCACATTCTTAAATTCCTTCACCCACTTAAGCAATATGATAGAGACAGGTTCTAGTTGCCGCTCAGAAAAAGGTAGTATAGTTGCATTGTTTTGTTACACTGGTGAATCCATTATAGTCAGTCAATATGAATTGCAGGCAATAATTTAAATGACAGTTAAAGGTTATTAAGAGGTATTTATAATGAAGTAATGCAACATGGCTCATATTAGCTCTAAATTCATTTTTAATCATCATTCTAATTCCTTTTTTCTATCCCCAGTGCTTTGGACAGCTCAAGGGCACTTTCTAGTGGAGAACTCTGATGCTTCCACCATCAACAGGAACACAGGATTGTTTTGGGCTTTACTGCAGTGCAGGTCTGGAAGAGACAGCAGCAAACACTTGCAGAGAATCAGCAACAATTAACCCCAAATTATAATCTGAGATTCACTTTAATATATCACCCTTAATCGTCTGTGATCATCAACAGTAAACTAATGTTAGGAGTTAACGCAATAGATAATTATCAGCAGCATGCAGATGAATAACTCTGTCTCTTAAAGCTGTAGTTCATCCAAACATACTAGATGTTGTTCCAAACTCATGTTAAGTTCTTTCTTCTGTGAAAGAAGACAAAAATGAGATATTAGGCAGAATGTCTAATTTTGTCTCGTCCATATAAAATGAAAATAAATTTAAACGGCCAAGCTCTAAAAATAAAACAAGAACATCATAAATCCAATCCATATTACTCTATATTCTAAGGTGTGTTTCAATGTTATTTTATTTAGTATTTTAATATAATGGAGATAGTTATTATTATTTTGTATTGGTTTTAATTTTTACATTTTCTCTTTTCATTTTCATTTTAGTTAGTTTTAGTAATTTTGTTGTGTGTTTTTGTTAGTTTTTTAACATGTCTATAATTTTAATTAATTAATTTTATTTCAGTTTTAGTTTTAGTTA